GAAAAACTACGACATACCCCAGCATATCAGAAAAGTCTTTTTAATGTTTATCAAGGGCTTGATCTTCAGCACGTTTTAAGTATTCCATACATGTGACATATAAAAATAGTTTTTAAAGGACATTATTAACATTATCATTTCAGTATTACTGAGATTGATAAAAATTTTTCTTTCATTAGAAAAAGAGTCATAGGCTGTAGTCGTTTTGTCAACATTATTCTTAAATATATTAAGTGATACGCTTTCTTGTTGCAGGCTATTTGGCGTTAATTGTTTCAGTATCTTCTCACTAAATCCCTACAAATTTAAAACTCAATGTTCTTAATTTTCTTCAATATATTGTTCTAAACCGACACCAGTTTTAGTGCTGCTGATGGTTTTGGGGCCTTTTCAACACGAATGACACGAAGCTTCTTCTAATCCTTACATTCCATAAAATTCTATTACAGCATCGTAAAATGCATTACATTTTTCCTTGCAGCTTTGCTACTTCAAAAATGCGATGTGTACAGATGGCGATTTTTCAATGATCGAAACTGAGATGGGATCTTGTATTCAATTTAACGCAGGTAAAGCAAGGTTAATGCTGCCACCTCAAAATAGAACCAGCCCTGATAACGTAAAACTACGACGTTTCAGAGCATATTACATTAATGGTGGGAGCGTCCATTTTGGGGCACTATGATATGTTTAACATCAATAAAGCGGGGAAAACCGGCATCGAAAAATGATTATCATGAAAAGCATTATTTGTTTTTTTCTATGTTTCCTGATTCAAAGTAAATAGATTGATAAAACTATGCTACATGTATGTTTAAATATGCACAGATGATGAACAAGACCAAATGCGTGTTGTTTTGAATGCATTTATTGGGGCATTTGGATTCTGAGGTAGTGCATTGTAGTTGTTCTTGCTGTTGTTCTTGCTTTTTTTTTTAAGAAGGTGAATTGAAGAGTGTTGAAACAGAAGGCAGCGTGTTTGGATTAAAGCTGTATCTTTTTGCACAACAGAGTGATTATGCATCTTTCACCACAATATCCGGCTTCACGGTAAACCATGCTACAATAGCTTATACATTTTATATTAACGCTTTTAAGCGTTATTAAAATTGGAAGTACATGTGAACAAAAGGTTTCATATAGAAATAACCAGAAGATAAGAATATGTTTTAAATGTTTTTATTAGTATCACATTTTAATTGCTAGACAATAGTCGTAATGATTTTTATATTTATTGTGGCCAATTTATAAAAAAGACTTGTTTCACACACACACACACACACACACACACACACTGTATAACCTTTAATGAAAATTCTCTTCACATTTTGGACTGATATATTATCTTGTATCAAATTATATATATATATATATATATATATATATATATATATATATATATATATATATATATATATATATGGTAATGAATTTTAAAAAATCAAGCATTATCATTGAAACATTTTATGTCTAATTTGTATAACTTTTGTCTAATTCCCAGGTACTGATGCACGAGCGAGGCGAATTTCCCGATATGTTGGGCCTAGGGTTACAAGTGTCACCGGGAGAAAGTGTCCACATAGCTATGAAACAGAGACGAGTATGTCCGTAATTATACATAAATATTTATAGACACCATTACATTTTCTCCAAGATATAATGCATATCTAGCTGATTAAACAGAATGTATGACTTTTAAAAATATTCTTTGATTAAGTATTGCGCCGTACATTGTCGTCGTCGTTCACACTAATTACTTTGTTTATTCCGTATTCTAAATATGAAAATCGATGCGTCAATAAATTTTGAACACAAGGGTTGATAACTCACCTAACCTGTGGTGACATCTAGATGTGCCTGTCCATGAAGTAACGGATGCAACGCACCTCACATCTTTATATTATATTATATTATATTATATTATATTATATTATATTATATTTGCAGCTGTCGAATCTCCCTCCCCCACACGGACAGTGCAAAGAGAGAACTTTGAAGTACTTCCCCAAATATACCAAACTTAATTGTGATGCTGAATGTTAGTAAGTGAATTTTTAAAACAATGATATTTTAATATTTAATAATAATAATAATAATTTATTCAGCTTTGAATGTTACAATTTAACATTGTTTGCTGTCTAGTCTACTACAGAATCTACCATATTGTACTTACATAAAAAGAGAGAAAGTGATATTTCATCGTGTTGCTAACTGTATATACTGTGATAATGCTTTTAGTGATTTCTGATCTTGAGGGTTGAGGAGGATGAATAGTTTCTGATCACTGCCTGCTAATTCATAATTTTGTCTCACAGTGTTTGGGAGGGAACTGAGCATATTTTGTCGCTCTATTTGGTATTTACTACATGTGAGGAAGAAATGTTTCTCATCCTCTATTTCCGTTTTACAGCTTGTGCAGGTTCTTTGTTCCAGGGTGATTTTCATGTGCCTGCCTTTCTCTATCGCTAGCTCGTGGTCACTAATTCTCATTTTGGCTAAGTATTTTTTGTCTGAGCTTGTGGCGTTCATTTTTAAGTAATTTTCAAGATCGTATGAGTTTTTTATTTTTCGATATGTACGCAGTTTATTGTGGTTCTCCTTGTTCAATTCTTTCCAAAAAAGGTCTTCGATTTTTAGATTAATTTCTTTTTCTAGGTCTGATGTTTCATCCCAATGTTGAATTCCCCAATTCTGTCTAAATGCCGCCACTGTTTTAGTCCAATTATCTATTTTCAGGAGTTTTTCTTCGCTAAATGTTTGTTTCAGTATTCTTGTATTCGGGAGATTTTTAAGTCTGGTGTGGTATTTTTGCATGGATTTAATTATATCTGTAAGGATTGGGTATCTACCCAATTCTGCTCTGCAGGCATTATTACTGGCAGTTTTTCTCACTCCTAATACCCATTTGCACATTTTTAGGTGAATTTGCTCGAAGGACGTGTTATTGATTTTATCTAGGCTTAGTGATTTTTCTTTGAGAATTTCCTGACCCCATACCTCGCTACCATATA